GAACCCGGCGCAGACACCTGCGGCAGGAAGCCGAGCATCCCACACGCACAGGCACCTTAGCAAGGCACGTAAACTTTCAATACCACACTGCTACTGTAAATTTTAGACCAATACGTATATCCTCTGGTGGATCATAAACCACTGAGCCATTGAGAATTAGTCTTTTATAGAAAAATAATAAAATTAGTCGTCCACAAAAAAAAAAAAAAAAAAAAAAATCGAGATTTCTTGCTCATTAGATCTAGACAGTTGTCTTACAAATTAAGTGATTTAGTCAATGGGCTCTCAGAGCAACTCTATGAGCTCAAGATGAAGCAGCTGCTAAATTTCAGAAGTTACTCACAAAGATGAACAAAACTAGTTGTAAGTTAAATGCTTTTCAACTCTTGCTATTGTATTTCTCTCAAACTACAAAGCTTTCTTAACCAGCTGCTGGTGAAATTGTTCCATCAATTCTCCCTTTAAAAATCTCAGGACCACACCCATCACACACTGGGATTCTTCTCTTTATTTAAATGCTAATTGCTTCTCATGACACATCCATTCAATCATTCTTTTGCACAGTTTATCACAAGACATTTTAATGATCCAGTATTCTCACTGGGTTTTACATGATCTGGAGGCTTGGGGAGGTTTACTCACTCATCTTTTAAATCCTAAAGGGCCCAAAGAAATCCGTGAAAAAGATGTAAGAGAAGCGCAGGATCAAGCCCAAGATACCTGTTAGTTCTTCCTATGTAAAAAGCAAAGTGTACCTGAACAGATCCGAGATATTTATTCCTCAACTTTCAGCTAGTGACACGTTCCTTCTGCATTAAAATGATGGGAACGGTCTGTATTTCATTATATCATCATCATCTTTTCTTGGTTACTTTTTACTGGTTTTTAAGCACATAAGGATTGTGCAAAGCAACTGGTGAATTAGTAGTAGACTGATAAAAACATTTAAATATGTATTTGTGAGGTCAGAACATGGCATAACAGGGAAATTACATTAGCAATTTTTGTTAACTGTACTCACAGGCACAAATTCTTCTCTAAACCATGTGAACCACTTGCCTGAATATAGCCTATGATGCACTAGAAACAAATACTAGTCCTGTGATTTCTCAAGCACACAATCATAACCACCACACCTTCTTCCTAAACTAATTGTTAACATTTGGGTTAAAAATGTTATTTTACAAACAACCATTAAGAATTAAAATTGTGTATACTTGAAAAAGATTTTAAAAGTTTAAATTTGAAAAGTAAATGGCTGTCTACTTGCTTCAAAATTACTTACGTACTTCTGCTGTATAGTAATAGAAAATATAATAAATAGACATAACATGAAAAAAAAATCCCAAACAGGCAACCTTTGAAAGGGACAAAGACAGTTTCAAGCTTTTGGAAGATGATCGATTCTAATGGCCTTCCAGAAACATTAACATGAAAACCAGACACGTTAAAAGGCTCATTATGTTAAGGAAATACATCTTTTTTTCTATATTCTGTGCTTTCAACAAAAAAACACCCCACCAATCAAGCTAAATAAATTATTAAAACCTTGTTGCCACAATAAGTATATTCTTGCCAATAGCTTCCTCCCACCCTGCTCACCCTTTGGCCTATTCTTGACAAGTTTTAGAATTATACAGTTTAAGAAGCTTTAAGTGTGTGACAAACCTACAAGAAACCTACCAGGCTCTACTATTTACAGTGCCAATGCTTCAACTGAAAAAAAGAGACTAATGGGATTTTTGCAGCAGGAAGCATAAGCAAATCCAGTAAAATAGAGAGATCTGGAACGTCAACCCTTGATGCATTTCTGACAAGAGCTGCTCAGTCACTTTCCATCAAAACCCACAAGTCTGACAGCACACAGAAAAAGCCCATCAAGTAACAAACTTCACGAAGTTTCACAAGCTGTCTAAAGTAAAGATTTTACAAGCTAATTTGACACGCTTTTGTCAAAAATCAAGTAATCTGCTGAAAAAGATCAAGTTTCCAAAGAAGCTGGCTGAGGATTTTAATTGATACTGTTCAATCTTTTTCCTCTCTTTTGGTTAATTTGGAGAAATACAGCTACACAGATTTCAGTCAAGCACACAGATCGATGACAAGCCATCCGTGCTTCTTGACTGTTGTGATAATGACAACATTAGCTGTGGTAGGAGACATATGACTATGTCCTATGTTTCAACACCATCAGCACTGACATCGACTGTCTTTTATCAGCACCATTTGTTCTCCTTCAAGTGGTTTTACACAGCCAACAGGAAAAAAAAAAAAAAAATCACTCTCAGAGATAGTCCCACTACAAAAATAGCTGCCCCAGGTGGTTGTAAAATGACAATCACTAAAGGTCCTGCCATTGACTAGTCACCATGAAGGAGTTCTCCTCTGTAAGACTTCATTCTTCAAGGACTCTGATGGGAATGCAAGAAAATGAAGACTCAAATCCTGCATTTTTTTCTTCCACATACAGTGTAACTTATTCATGCAGACAACTGCCTGTAGTTGTCAGCATTGAATACAAAACCACTTTAGCCACTTCTCATTTTTAATCAAAGCCTTTCTGAACAAGCACCACTTTGTAGCATCTTCATTACCCATAAGTATTTTAAAAATTCAGGAGGAGCTTACAGGATATAATAATAAAATTTTTGACCACCAGTGACACCGTTCGTTAGGAACAATCTCTAGGGAGATTACTGAGCTGCATCTATTATGAGACAGGGCATCGGACAGATAGCTAGCACTCCCAGTCACCTAATGCATGACCTTCAAACAAGTCCCTTCAGCAGTGTTACCCTGCTGCTGTACCTAGTTTTCCTCCGTTTTCTTCGTCTATTTATATTACATGAGGAAAAGAAGCAAACAAAAAACCAAGCAAAACCAGTTTACAGATGAGAGTTACCTAAAACAAATTCTAATTTTTAATCACTTTATGCAGTGTCTGTAGCTTCCTTAAAGCCATACAACAGTATTTCACAGCATCTCAGGTAGAGAGCCACACGTTCCAAGCAAGCAGCAAAATCGGGGTTTCCTTTAAGCCAAAAGATTTTGATTCTAATCGTTAACATTTTTAAGGATATGACAAATATTCTGTATTTTAATTCTGCAATATTTTTTTTTTTTAAAAGAGTCTATTCTCTTTTCAAGTTGTTCACGGCCTGGAAAAAAGAAGACATTAGAAATTACATCTGCTGAATGAGAAAAGCTGATTCTCTGTTTTGTTTCCTCCACGCATTTGGTAATAATTTGGAGCTAATTCAATTCCTCCGGTGGTTTCAACAGGCATTAGAGGCTGGGTCACTAAGGTGACAAGGTAGCTGTTGCCAGCAGCCAGTTCCTCGGCTCGTCATCCAAGCAAAGCAGCAATCCGACCATTCACCGGAGTGTCATCTCCTCCCCCACCCGCACACACACCCCTCCGTGACAGCATGAAAATCTGACGCAAAAGCGGAACTGCAAGAAGAACACGAAACCGTTTTAAGCAACTTTAGGAGAGAACTAAATTCGAGGCTGTCTCTCTTTAAGACAGGGGAGGAATAATTAACCAGAAATTTCCTCAAAGGAGAACGCTATAATCATGTTTCCTCAACAACTTTCAGATTATATATTTAGCATGTAATTTTATGCATGCATCCTTCCACATCCAGACTAAACTCGTCTGTGCCCAAACCCACTTTCTGGGTCCAAAATAATAATAATAAAAAAAAAACCAACCCAAACCAGAAAACCCAAAAAACAAACCACAACACCCAGAGGTAAAAAACCCAACCGAACCAAGTAAACAATCTACAGAGTTAAAACTAAACATTAGTGTTTAATAATCAACTTCAACAGCACTGAGCACGTTGGGAAGTCGGACTAAAGGGTTACTCAAGTAACTTTCACCATAAATTTTTGCAGGATGACTAATGAATTGCGAGCTGCAGTGTGGCCACAATCACAGCTAGTAACCTGAAGTCCCCTCCTCACAGGGTACAGTATGTCTCAGGAAGTTTAAAGGATTAAAAAGCATCATCTCGTGAAAGAGCCCATGTTTTCAGGCCACCTCTAGCAAAAATAGTATTTTCCCCCTTTCAGGTTCACCAAAGCCCACACTTTAGAGCCACCACCTCAGCGCTACACTGTATCAGCAAGGTCCTAAGGCTGAGCAGATATTAATAATTAACCTACGCGGTTAGTGCCTCTGAATTAGCTGACCCCAGGAGCTGTGCGAGTCTTCCAGCCCTGCCACCACCCCCGAAAAAAACCCCGCCGGGCGCTCCCGTGCCCGCGTCCTCCCCTCTGCTCCTCTCCTCCAGCCAAGGAGAGGATTGCAGCAGCACCCAGCACTGCAGCAACCCTACGTCTCAGGTTTTCTCTGGGAAAAAAAAAAAAAAAAAAAAAAAACACAGAAAAAAAAATAAACCAACCAAACAACAACTCACGGTTTCAGCATCAACTTCTCCTCCCCACGTTTCAAAAATTAAAAAAAATACAAAATAAATTAAAAAAAAAAGCGACGACGTCGACAAGCACACGGTCATTTAACTCGGCTGAGCTGGCCTAAGTTTCCTCCATACCAACAGATTGCTCCTCTGCCTTCTTCTCGCCGAGTTTGTTGCAACATGTGCCGGCTGCCGATGCTCCTGGGCGCCAGGGCTGGGACTTCGCCTTCGCGTGGTTTAACCCCACCCTTTCCACCGCCTGCCACCTCCCCCAGCGGGGAGGGGGGATAAATTTAAAAAGCCCCCAAAATTCCGGATAAATGCATACGTCTCCGTTCCGAGACGAGACACACACACGCACACACACCCCGTCAGCTTGTAGCCGTCAGTACGCAAATAAACTAGGGAAGCTACGAGGAAGAAAACCTCGCGAGCTGGAAAATGAGGGGAGGTAAAAAATTGAGTTAAAAAATGATTTATTTATGGGGTTTCCCGCCCCCCCCCCCCCGCCCCTCCTCAGCCCTTTTCGCAGTGCCGATCCCCGGCGGAGGCAGCCGAAGCCCCTCACACGCGTACCTTGCCAGGCTGCCGCGGGTCCCCGCCGTGCTTCTTCCTGCTGCCGCCTCCACATCCACCATGCTTTTGTCCGGCCACCGGCTGCCTCTACGCGGCGGGGGTCCCTCCTTCCTCCCCCCCCTCCCCACACACCCCTCCACCGCCTTCCTACGGCCCCAGCGGCCGGCGGGGCTCCATGCCGCGGCCGCGCTCCGCCAGCCCCCGCAGCCGGCGGAGGCTCCGCACCTGAGGGCGATGCCGGGGCGGCGCCACGGAAGGTGAAGTCCCGTCCCGCCGCCTCCCCGCGGGGACGGCTTCCTCTCCTCAAGGAGGGGGATAAGGAGGAGAAGGGGGATACCGGGGAGGGAGAGCTGCGCCGACCCGAGCGAAGCGCTCCCGGTCCCCGGCGGCCGTTGGCGGGAGCGGGAAACGCCCTCACTTGTTGCCCCCCCAAACCCTGTGGCGGCAAACGGCGCGCGCACGCGCCCGCCCTCCTCAGCCCACCACGCGCGGCGGGGCGGGGCGGGCGGGGGCGGGGAAGCCCCGCCTCCGGCCGGCCGACGGCGCAGCGGATTGGTGAAGCGGGCGGCGCGGCGCGGCGTGGGGCCGGGCGGGGCACGTGGGACGGAGAGGGGGTGTGGGGTGGTGTCCCTACGCCCCTTCTGGTCTCGGTCGTCAACGCGGTTGTCGGACTGTCGTGTCCCTGAGGAGACGAGCGGGCGGGCTGGTGGAGAGAGCGGGCACCGCCGCCGCGCAGGCCCCTTCCCCCAGCAGGACACGGTCGCCCCCCCCCCACCCGCCACCTTTCCACGCTGCCACCCGCGCGTCGGGGCACCCGCGCCTCGGCCAGCCTGGCCCGCTGGGCCGCCCATCTGCCCGCCCCGCCGCCCTGGCGCCCGCCCGCAAGCCCCGCCTGCCGCCCGCCATGCTGTCCCTTGACACCTCACCCTGTTTTCCTGAGGTAAAACACCCCAGGGAAGGGGGAAATCGGCATCCCCAGGCTGCCCACAGGCACCAGTAGCTCTCTAAAATACACCAGCGCCTAGGAGGGAGGTGTCACCCGCGGGCTCCCCCCCCCACGAAAAGAGGTGGGCGCCTGGTTTGGGGGCCATTTGCAGAGGGAGAGAGCAGCACTTGACCCCTCAGAAAGGCAGCACACTTATGTCTGCCAGCTGCGTTGGCGGGAGAAGGTGAGGTGGCACCTCCTTCCCTCCCTCTCGCAGTAATAAAAACACGTTTTCAAAGGTAAATACCTTCTTGCGCAGGCTGGCAGCCTCTACAGTCGCAGGGGCAGCTGGTTGTAGCTACAGAACATCTCTATGACGATGTTCATTGTTTTGGTTTTTTTCCACACATCAAGCAAAAGAGGAAAACCTGGAGCCGGGCTGAAAAATGCTGTTTCATACAACTTTTTAGAAATGTTTCTCCTTTTTAAGCAAGGTCATTGCAACTGGCTGAGTTTTATGTGGTGGTCCACAAAGCTTTTGTTACTGAGTCCAGGAGGGAAAAGGACTGGTTTAGGCTGTCAGTGCTTCCCTTAGTAAATAAGTTTCTGAGAGTTTCAGATTTTGGAAGTTTGCCCTCCAGAGCTGATTCTAATCATGTATGACTCACTTATTAGTAACCCTCTTTTTTTTTTTTTTTTTTTTTTTTTTTTTTTTTGTTGTTGTTGTTTGCTTACTTGCTAAGTTGATGAGACTACAAATCCTGGCCAAATATCCCTATTGAAATAAACTAGAGAAATCTCCAAGACCCAGGAATTCTTACTGAAATAAAACATAAAAATGTGTGCTGTTACAGCAGGGAGTACAGTCTTCAGTCTCACCATGGCCACATCCAACAGCAACCAACAGACAGATTTACAGTTTCAGTGGATGGTAAACCTCACAGCTTTTTGTCCTAAACAGAAAGAAAATGAACACATGTAATTTGTTTCTATTTTTAGCACCTGCATTCTCAATCCAATGTAAGGAAAGGCCCAACCAAAGCAATTATCTCAATGTCACCTGGCACAGTCACTTAAAAATTGTTTTCACTGCAAAGGGAGAGGTAAGCATGTCCCCATGATCCACAAAAATGCACATTTATGCACTTCCATTTTACAGCACTCATTTTCCCCAAGACTCGGTCGTTGATGTGCACAGCCATAAACACAAGTGGTTTGGTAAACAGCATGAGTACCCACAGCACGTACTGAGCTTCCCATACTCTGTGTCATTAAATATTGGAGGCCCACAGAAAACCTGCAGCAAGTCTTCTGGAGCTGCTCCAAAATCTTGTTCAGGAGTCTGGAAGCAATGTCCCCATCCATGATGCATTGGGAGGGGCATTGCATATTTCATTCCTCTTGAAATATTTATAGGTGTACTTCAGGTTTGAGTAAAGCTGTCGTTTTCATCAAAGTAGAAAGATTACAGCAGAGGGAGGAATTACCCTAAATCGGCAAGTATATTTGTCCATTAAGTAACAGAAGGCTTGAAAGGAGAATTAAGCATCTAGCAGCCAGGAGCTTGGCTCCTCTGCACAGGAGATTTCATAACAATAGGTTTTGAGATCAGTTTATAAAAAAAGGAAAACAGAAATCAGCTAGAACACTGTGTCACGTAACGCTGGGTGCTAAGGAGCCTGGAAAAACACATTACAGCTGAGAATTTTGGACAATGGTGAAATGGTCTGCTGTCTTTGGGGGAAAGACATTTCTCCCTCCCTCCCGGGCCATGCCTGCTCCACTGTAACCGCACCAACTCAGCTGGTTACAGGGCTGCTTTGTGAAACCTTGAGGAGGGAAGGTGTTTCAACCCAAATATATTCCCTGATCCAATTAGCAGCCGAGCCTCAAAATTTAGCTGAAACGGGGAAAATACCTAGAACGCTGCCACTGAGCACGGTGTATTTTTCAAACCACTACCTAACAGCGATGTTCCTGATCTGCACGGTGCAGCTACAGCCTAAAAACCCCAGCGAGGGGTAAGGCAGGAGCTCACTTTCCAGCCTGGCTCCCCCAGGTGCAAACAGCTCAACCTTCCCCAAATCTGTGCAAATCCAGGCAAAAAAAAACCTGGGGAGGTTTCTTACTTGATGCTGCCAGTTGACAGGTCCCAGTATGAATAACAGTGAGCGTAGTGCTGGCCCCAGGCAGGGGCTACGAGGCTTCAGTGCCCCTCAGCCTGCTACAACAGCATGAAAACTGCTCCAGCTCTAAACTCAAATCTCCTCTGTCAGTCGTCGGGTTTAATTAGCACAAAACAATCCCACGAAGCAACTGTCCATCCGTCCGTCCGTCCGTCCCCCCCATCCCGCTGTGACATGCTCCCTTCAGGCTTCACTGCAAAGCAGCCTCCTTCCCTCCTGCCCCATGCACCCTCATGGGGGGCCAGGACACCTCCCCATATGTCCCGGTCCCCACCGGGGTTTACAGGACGAGGCAAACACTCTGGCTAACACGCCTAAACAACTCCTTTGCAAAGCGAGGTGGTGGGGAACCCCATGTTGAAGACAGCCCACTTTATTTAAATCAACCTCCTTTCTGCACCCCTCTCTGCCTGCACTGGCTAACATAGCATCATGCTAAGCCCATGCCAGCACCCCATCTTGTTTAGAAGCACCTCGGTCCCTCTCAGATTTAAATGTATTGTATTTTATTTATAGCTCTTTCTCCCTTTTCAGCAGGCCCTCTTGCTTACAGCCACCGAGACAAGAGGAAACAATGCTGTCAAGCGAGGGCGCGAATCCACCCGATGCCCCGCCATCCCATTTCATGACCTAATACAACTTTATACGTTAATTAATGGGAACAGGTTCCTGACAGCACCCAGACGTGTTGTTCCCAAGCTTTCGCTGTTGTTGATGTTGTTGCCTTGACAGGGCCTGTTGGGAAAGAGGATTTGGTATCCAGCTGTTGAGCCGGGTAGTGGGGTGCCAGAGGATGGAGTAACCTCATAAAAATACACTTTTTAAAGCAGTGATGATGGAGCAGCCAGTGTGAGTGTGACTGTCAGGGATTACAGTCCCTGGGCCACCATCAGCCTGCACAGTAGGATGAAGCAGGACATGAGGAATCGCATCTAAACACAGATGTACAACCTCTCCTGGATGGCTGGTTGCACTTGGGTGAAACTAAGGAAGCCCTGAAAAATTTGTCAAAGTTGTACTGCAGTTTGCTTCATTAGAAGGAAGCAGGATTTTCATGTTTCAGGTCTGTAAAGCTGAGCTTTGTTACAGGCACAGTAGTAAATTGTTGCTTTTTTTTTCTCCTCAGAAAGAAAGCAAATGCTTTTGATTGCAGCTGCTGGTCTGAATCTGGAATAACTTTTTTGCCTACATATTCAAAAATACCACCTTCTCTCAGCATCATGATGCAAATTATTCGACCTGGTGTACGAGCCTTGCTAGTGAGTTGCAGAGCATCAAACATTTCTCTGGGGAAATTGTGCGTTCAAGGCATTGGTGTTGTGTCACTTGGTGACACGAATTCTTGTTGCCAGAGTTTTTCTGTAGGTAGTGTGATATGCACGACAGCCAGAAAAGAGAGTCTTTTAAAAGGATTCCACTCTCATTTCTTATCAAGTTAAAATTTTTTTTTTTTTTTCAGGCTATTTATTCATTGCTGTCATAGCAATTGGGTTCATTGGAATAAAAGCTGACTGGGGGGGGGGGTACTTCATTTACAGCTATGGAAATGAGCTATGTACATTAGTCTTTTCTCTAGCATTTGCCTGTTAATTAACAATTGGTACACTGCCAGGAGCAAAGGAGAAGTAGGAATGAGTCCCAGGTTATAGAATCTTCAAGGTTATCTTGCTTTTCCTGTTTCACAGCAGCAACGCAAGAGCGAGAAGTGAGACACAGCCCGGTTGCAGCAAGCTGAGGCCCAGCGGTGGGGTGCCCGGCCCTGGGGACCGTGGGCTGCTCTTGGGGAAGCCACGTTGCAGTGTGTCCTGTCCTGCCACATCCTCCCCCAGCTACCAGAAAACAGCAGACACAGGATTTTCCCTTGAATCTTGCTCGGGATTCCCAGGTACCTGCTTTCAGCCACCCCTGTGAACACGGTCAGTGCCTCCTCCCCTGCAGCAGCACGCCGTGAGGGACCAGCACCCAGCTCATCAGAAACACTCGCTAGCTCCTTTCCACAGGGAGCACCTGTAAGTCCAGCACAGCTTGTAGTCATTTACATTATGGAAATGCCTGGCCCAGACCTTCCACGCTGCATCCCGTAACATTAATGACGTCTCTTAGCACCACGGTCCCTGTTCCAAAGCGTGCACACATCACCTCCAGCAAAAATGCTGCTGGCTGCAGGCATGTGTGTACTGAAACAATTCCCAACCTCCCTTTTGTAAATACTCACCTAGTTCTCCCAGGTCAAACGCTCCCATAAGGCCAGTGCAACTGGAATTAATTTTTTGTAATGGACCGAAGCTTATCCAGGACACAGGTCTGGCTGATTTTTGTGGACAGACTGGTGTGGCTAGAGGACACCTGGAGAGCATGGGACTAACCTGAGTGTGCTTCTGTGATCGAGGAGGATAAGAACACCAGATAAGAGGTTAAAATTTAAATAATAACAGGAGCCTAAAGATTGCTCCTGTGGCACATGAGCACTTCAGCAGCAAACCTGATTTTCAAACACTGAAGATAAGGAAAAAATAAAAATGCAAAGACAACATGCAATTGCAGTTGGAGCATCTCAGTTCCTCCAGGAATGAACCTGTTTTTTCCCACCTGGATGTTTGAGCCTGGAATTCAGCCGAGCAAAAAGTCTCTCCCAGGGCAGCCAAGGTTTGTCAGCAGAGATGTGAGCACATTTCAGTGGTCTCCTCACCCAGTCATTTTCCCCCACATTTCACCACCCCCACCCCCCCCACCCCCCCCACCCCGATACAAGCATGCAAACCAGCGCAGCAAGAGCAACCAGTACAGAGTTGTTTTGCTTCACTTCCCTTTGCTTTCATGCCTTGGTGAGATGGGGGAGATGCGAGTGGTATGTTCAGCTTTGGCAAAACCACTCGAGTTGAAGAGACTGGCACATCCATCCATGTCCTGCAGAGCAGCACTTTTTTTTTTTTTTTTTTTCCTGGAGCGCTGCAGCTCTTTCTTGCAGGCAAAGTGGGGCAGGATAGCGATGGCCGAAGGAAGCTGGCCCCTGCTACGTTGTGTGCTGTCATTTGCAAGCTGTGGGCAGGGCTGCATTGTGATCATATTGATTCACATCTGACAAGAATAATTACTGCCTGAGCTGCTTGGATTAAAGTCAGTGTTTCCCTGCTCTAGGACATACCTGCCTTTGTCAGGCAACGGCCGCAGTAACTAACAGCATTTTCCTCCCAGTGAGGGTGGCTTGTTTTCCTTGCAGACAGAAAGCACAGCAGTGCAGTGCAGGCAACAGGATGGAGGAGCATCCACATGAAATTCAGTTTCTAGACCAGCAGAAAAAATTATTTTGCAAACAACAAAAAAGCACCTGCTATGTACAAAACATCTTTTTTTTTTTTTTTTTTTTTTTGTGTCTGGGAAACACGAGCCCCTTACACCTCTCCTTACCTTGGCTCAGAGGCATCCCAGAGTGTTTTGCAGCAAAACCTGAAGAGCTGCAAAACTGAAAACTGCCAGGCAGTAGAGGCTGCAGCCGAGTCTCTTCAAAGGTGAGAAAATGATTTACACTTAGGAAAAAATGTACTGGAGCCACTTCAAGCTGAACCGCTTCCATTTTGCTTTTATTTTTTAGCAGATGCTGTTTTAAGCACCCGCAAAATCCCAGCTGTGGGAAAACTGCCAGTCCTCACATGTCACTTAGATTTTTTAAACCGTGTTAACTTCAGGCATCTCCTGGATGAGGCTCTGCTGCGTGATTTCCCTCGGACTCTCCCAGTGCCAGCTGGGGAAAGGCGACTCCGATTAAAACCAGCCCTGTGTCTGGAAGGGTGCTGACATCCAAGCTGGCTGTTTCTGGGTGGCGAAGAAAACTAAGCTGACACAGCGCGTGGGATTTTTTTTCAAGACGCTCCCAACAGTTTGGCGAAGCTTTTGCGGCTGCCACCAGAGCGAAACCCCGCTCAGCCCACGGGATGTCAAAGTGGTGGTGGTGGTGGTGGGGCCACAGCGAGTGTTTTGCCACCGGGGCTCGGGGCTGGCATGAGCACCAGGGTCTCCAAAACCGGGGTGAGGAGAGGGGCCCTGTCTGAGAGGGGCAGAGGTGGCTGGCTCCTAGGGCTGCGGGGTTGGGCTGGGACCCAACTGGGCTCTTTTGAAGCTCTCTCCAAGGCACTCGTCAGGCTCTATCCAGAGGGAGATCTGGATTCTAACCGGTAACATTTTTAAGGATATGACAAATATTCTGTATTTTAATTCTGCAATATTGTTTTTTTTAAAGAGCCTATTCTCTTTTCAAGTTGTTCACGGCCTGGAAAAAAAAAAAAACAAAAAACAAAAAAAATTAGAAATTACATCTGCTGAACGAGAAAAGCTGATTCTCCATTTTGTTTCCTCCACGCACTGGGTAATAATTTGGAGCTAATTCAATTCCTCCAGTGGGTTCAACAGGCATTAGGCTGGGGACACTGGCAGGACAGCAGTTACAAGCCCTGGTTTCGGCCCCGCCGCTACCCCCATCCTCTGTGGTGGCCCCTGGGTGCACGGGGGGTGCCCCGCTTGCAGAGCACCCAGGGGCCTCACTCCCAGCTGGGAAGCTCCCTGCCTCACACCGTCCGGCTGCCGGCGGCTTCTCGCGGGTGCTCAGGGCTCATCTGATTTCCCCCAGGCCCCACAGTTCCTCTGTAACCTCTTTTCGCGTATTTATCCTCATAAAAGCCACCTTGGAGTTTGCCAAGGTGCCGCGTTGCTGAGTCGTTACACACACTCGTTCCTGCCTGGACCTCTGGAGGCCAGCAGCACCACCCGGAGTGCAGGATGTGGCCCCTGGCGTATCAGAATTGCAACATATCAAAGAAGGAGATCAGAAAGCTTTTATCTTGTTATTGTAGGCTCCGCAGATAAACCTCAGAAATAAAAAACAGGGCAAAGGGAAATGAAATAATCCACATATTTAGTTTTAATATCCAGCTTCATACCTACAGGCTACTGAAAAATGACCTGGAGGGAATATACCTCCTGCATTAGGGCCTGAGATCAGCAACATAATCAAAGTGAATGAAGGGTTTTCTTTGTGTTGCTTGATGGAGAAATCCCTCTGCCATGGATGGGCTTGCTATAAATAAATAAAACTTCAGAAACCGGCATGCAGCACAGATGAGATCTAGCCTCATAAATTAGTAAACCACTGCCCCATGTATGAAATCACTGCAGGTTTTCTCTCTGATCCTGTCCATATATAACCTCCCCCATGTAAACAGTCCTCTGAAGTTAATGGAGCTGTACTAATTTGCAATGGCTGGGGATTAAGCCGTCGGGGTTAAGCATTTCTGTTGGCTCTGATTGCAGAACGTTGTAGTTACAGGACCGTAAGTTGACTCGGAGATGTTCCTGCTGTGGAAAAAAAAAGATCCGTGGCCATTACACCACGTCGCTGGTGGCCCCGTGGCGCAGCCCAGGTAGGAGCACTCTCCCTTCACCGGCCGTGCCCTCGGACAGAGGAATCCCTCTCCCCCCCTGCAGAGGAGGGTGCAGACATTTTGTCGGACGCTGCAATGTAAAGCTCGTTTCTCTCTTTCATTCTCACTGGGGACGTGCCAATGTTTTCCGCAGACCGTTTCATTACTATTATGCTGCTTGCAAGCATCTTAATTTAAATCACATTATAGATGCACCAAGGCAAAATGATCTATCCACAGCCTAAATAATAAAGCGGAGTGAAAAAATCCTTGGGCTGTGAGAGGCTAGAACAAGCACTAATTGAAATGTATAAACTTACATAAAATTATTTATAGAAAGGAGCCCGATTGTCAAAGGCCCTGAGAGAGCTGGAACATGGGAATGTTTGTTCTTCCTACAAAGAAGAATTAATTTATGCAAGTTTATAAATTCCAGTTGCTTTGCCTGCTCGTCTCCTGATCTGCCTAAGGACTTCTTGAAAGGCATTAATGGTTCCTGGCCGCTGCTTTTTGATGGCACTTTTTATCCTTGTACTTCTGCATGCCGTTGCCTCACAGGCTCTCGGAGCAGGGCATTAGCTTTACACACCATGTTCCTTGGCTGTAGAAAAGTGCATATTTGTCCTGAGGTTCTGCAGTTGTAAAATTATTTGAAGGGGATGCCTGGAGGAGGCCAGGGCTCACCAAGCCACCAGGTATTTTGCAGAGGGTGGTGGGGTGGCTGCTGTGTTTTGGGAGCACGGGAAGAGCCCTGAGCCACTCGCAGGCGGCTGGGATCAAATGGACACCTCTCTCTGCTTGAGCCTGCCATCTCCTCCTGACGGGGCTTTGCTTATTTCCTTCTTTCACTGCCAGGAACCCAGATGCCATGAAGACTCCAATGCTCTGCATGGTTTGGTTTGCAAGGCAGGAAGAGTGCCACTTATTGCTAAAATGCACTATATCCTATAATTTCCTGGTAATGCTGTATTCGGCCAGGGCTGCCAACTGGCCGGAAAGCTCAGGAAACATAGCAGAGAAATTACATAGCATCAAACCTAAATGATGAATGTTTCCTCCCAGGCTCTGCTCAGCAACACTATGGCTTTGGGTTTCATGCTGCAATTGCTGGTTTCCCCCCACCCCCCCCCCCCCATTCAGCCCTGTAAAACATCTCTCCGCAAGGGTCTGAAACATGTGCTGGCATCCAAAAATGCTATTTGTTCAATTACCTGGTTTTCCGTATTCTCCAAGATCATCTCATTATGAAAGCTAATGGCTGAGTGCCAGAGTTTCAGCGCAGCTAGCCACTAAGTGAATTAAAATGCAAGCTCCAAGTCACCTGCACCCAGGGGAGGTGAGAAACAAGAAAACCTCTTTGGAGAAATATTTCATACCGCCCTGTTGGCTGATGTCCTCTGACGGCACCACATTTCAGGGACTTCCCCTTGGGTCCTGCTTGCTGTGATAACACTGAGGGCCACTGCAAAATGCCCCAGGGCTGAACCCCCCAGGCAGGCTGGCTGCCCTGGCCTCCTCCCTCCCACATGCTTTCAAACCCGTTTTCCTGCAATTTCTTGCATTTCAAGATCTGCCTTGCTACCACCAAAAGGAAGGAGGGAGGGCAAGGCATTTGGGGGTTTGGGCATGGGGATGATCAACCCCATTATGTCTGGGATGAAAGCTTCATAGCAGCAGCCTCTTCCTACCCACGGATTTTGTGCTGGGACAGCAAGCTCAGGGGATATCCCAAGATAAGCCTACCCAAGTGGTACTGGCAGTTCAGAGGTGGATTTGCACCAGGTGAAGTCGTAGCTGCATCCCCCTTGCCACCTTTTCACGGGAGGCGAGACATCGTGTCCTCTGGGGGCTCCGGCAGCCCCCGGGGATCACCCGTGGGATTCATGCTGTTGGGAGCAGGCATTTTGGTTGGTGTACGTGCATCCCTTTTGAGGAAAAGGGAACTCATCCGCAGTTGTGGCGAGGTTTGGCTAAACCAGGGTGACCTTTATGGGTAGAAACAGCTTTATTTTGCTGCACGAAGGGGAGAAAGCATCGATGGCGATGGCTGCCTGTCTCCCTCCGCCATCACCTTTACCTCCCAACATGGAGAGGGGGGGCCCAGGACCATAGTCCTGCTCTCCATGTTGGATTAAACAGCACCCCGAGCCCTGCTTCCCCGGGGTCTGAAAATGATTTAAGAGATGGATTTTAACAGGTCTGGCTCCAAGTTGAGGGGGTCGTCGTCTATTTTTCCGATCGCAAGCCCCATGAAATGTAACGCATTAAAAAGTTGTCAGCGGCTGCTGTGAAGCACCACTACGTTCCCCCTGCCCCGCCGTCACCGTGAGGTACAGCCTTCTTAAAAAAGCTCCCTCTCTCCCTGGCACAGACTGAGCGCCTCTTTATAAATATTTGGAATAAATGAATGAACTGTTGAAATTCCCCAGAAGGGGAAGGAAACATTTCCGCGAGCAATGTGTGGCAAGTGTGAGTCACCAGGTAAAACTTCTCAGACACTGGCGCATCTACAAATGGTCAGTAGCTATCTAAATCTGGAAATCTCCTCAGAAAAACGGGAAGTGATTTCTTTTATCAATAGGTAGCAAAGAACTGGCATACAGAAAAGAAAATGTCTCAAACTATCAACCAGTTTATCAAAAAGTTAAAGCGCAATACAACGTGGAGGTCATGGACTCCAGCAAAAACCCTGCGAAGCACGATAGAAGCACAAATGTTAATTCTGATATTTACACCTGCAAAAAGGATCTGTAAGAAAGAAAAATAAAGAAATGTAAAATGTAATGAGACTAAGTAACCTGAACAATGGAAAAGTAACTCAACACCAATATAAAAATAAGTATGCCTCTACGTCTGCTGCTTTCTGAGGCCCAAAGCTTTACGAAATACAGCGCTTGCTTGGCATGGATTTGCAAAAACACGGTGTGCCTAAACTATATTTTTTTTCAAATACAGATATGCCTAGAAAAATACTGTAAAAATTCAGCAGTTCTGGGAATATGCGGCCCGAGACAAAAGAAAACTGTGCTAAGAGGAATCATCTTGCCAAGCAGAGGGTGAGTGCAGGGCTTGCCAATTGTGTAATGCGTGATTGAAGGCAACAGCACTTGCAGATATTTTAGGGAGCACCAGATCATAAACGAGTGGCAACTTGGAGGAATTCCCAGAAAACAACAAACGGGCGCACGAATAAATTGCAGGGCATTGTAGTGGTGCAAAAGGTGGTATCCGAGGAGGAGCCCGCTGAAGGTTGCAACGACATGTGGCTGCTGCTTGTGAGTCTTCAATAAGAAGTGGCAGAGCCTGGGAGGGGCTGCACATCTGGAGCTGCACATCTGGAGTGATCACGTACGTGGTGCCAGAGCTGCAGCCGCAGCCCTCACTCACCGCAGGGCAAATCCACCATGGCTTCGGCAACACAGGGCAGGTTAGATTAAATACCCAGACTTTGATCGAAACCAAGCCTGTCCCCGCTGGGCGGCACGTGGCAGTCCTACTCGCAAGTGGTTTTTAGTTGTCAGTAAACCAGGAAGGATGGAGATGGAGCAGCTTGCAGGCAGGGAGGGAGGGACGAAGGGGAGTTTTCTGAGGTTAAGGATATTGGAGCGTGGCACGAGTCATGTCCCAGTGGCTTCTCCAGCTGCTTTGGAGGACTGGGCAGGGAAACCGCTCCAAGGTGGGACTCAGGCAGGGGCCCTCCTTCAGCCCTTCCTCCTGCTGCTGCATCCCCCTCGTTTTCCTCCTCTGGCTGTGCTGAGCTGCTTGTGTCCCTGCTGTAAATCTACAAACTGCCCGGCGGGCTCAGCTGGCAGCTCGGGTCACGCTGCCGTGTGGCTGCTCCCCTGAAGGAAGA